AATCAAAGATTCCATTGAGAATGAAAGAGAAAAATGAGGAATGAATAAAAAAATCTTTCTCATGTGGTTCGAGGAGTTTGTTTGATGCTTTCTCCATCTCAAAGTACCACGGTTCCTTTGTCTTACACACAATTCAATGTGTTTGATTTTAATTTTTGAATTTAATGTTTTTAAAATTAAAAATTTTATTTTTTTGTATATTTTTATTTTTAGTGAATATTTTAAAATTTTTAAATTTTTTTTTATTTTTTTAAATGCACCTTACTTAGATGTATCGAAAAATAAATTTTTTATAAAAAAAAATACTTTCAAAAATCAATAAATACACAAGAATATAAAAAATATACTGAATTTTAGTATTTTTTTTATTTTATATTTTTGGTATTTAGTAAACTTCTAAAGATTTTTTTTATAAATATTATATTGTTTAAGTGTATTTATGTTAAGTGTATATAAAAATTAAAAGATTACTTAGAATATTTAAAAAATCAATAAAAACAAAAAAAATACAAAAAATACAGAAAATAATTTTTTTTTAAAATAAATTTTAAAAATCTAAACCAAAAAAACTTATTCTTTCTCCAAACATTGTATTACGTGAAGCAAAGTCAGTGGTTCATGTATAGACCCTGCCAAATAGTTGTGTCCCATCTCCTCATCAGCCATGTTTGGTAGAGTTGTGAGAAAGTGCTTATAGCTTATGCCTAAACAGTTTATAACTTATAACTTTTACCTTAAGCTGATTTCCAGCTTATTCTTAAAGCATCTCCTACCCCACTCAAAGAATAAGTTGATTTCTGACTTCCACAAAACTATAAGCTATAAGCTATAAGCTAAACCAAACATATCAAAATAGTTTAAATTAAGCTGAAAGCTGAAATAAGCTGTAAATAATTTCTGCCAAACAGGCACATCATCTCTAAATTGAATAGTACCCGTTTGTTGTATACAATCACCATTACCTCACCTCCCCCGTATGTATCATTTTACAATGGGCACCTTAATAAACATATCAATTATATTTAGGTCCTACTAATATATTAGTGAGTTAGTGAATTAAATAACTCAAGGGTGAGTGGCATTGTGATTAAGGTTTGAGGTTTAAGTCTTAAGGTCAAATGTTTAATTTCCTTTTCTCTTGAACCAATCTCCTGGGCGAAGCATAGTTTGTTAGAAGGTTAGACCTCAAATTGTCTAATCAGCACTTGGTGTGGGTTCAATGCTCCCTCACTGTGCGAGTCTTGACTTAAGTAGAGCTTGTCTTGAGAGGTTGGGATAAGTTCCCAGGTCATAATCTCCTCGCTCGTAACAGCTAACAGGATATCCTGGTGATCTCTGTAAGGAACGCTACCTTAGACCTGCGGGAGAGTAGAGAGGATTTTCTTGTAATCAAAACAAAACAAAAAAAAAAGTTAGTGAATTAAATTACTGTTATAATAAATGTCGTTCTGTTGACCCGAATTCAATATCTTGTCAAATCAAAAACAATTTCAAAAACTATTGAGCTAATAGTCTCCCTTCCTTAACATGGTGGTCAAGAAATTAAAGTTTTATAATATGATAATATATGTGATTATTGGGACAAAAGAATGCTAAAATCTATTCACAACACTTTCACTATTCTTCCACCTCTCAATATCACAATGGTAAATTATTATGTGATTTTCAAATATCAATATATTGACATAATGTTTTTTTGGATTAATACGATAGATATTGTGAGATAGATACAATCGAATTATATTACACCATATATACTTGTTTAAGGCTATTATATAGTTTTTGAGTGATTATTTAGTGATTTTAAAGCTATTGGCATTCTGTAAACTTGTTCACTTGTCTCTTAAAAATCAATATAAAATTAATGAGTCTCACTATTTTTTAACAAAACACCAAGACTATACTATAATTTTCATAATTTATTAATTATAAGATCTAAATCCAAGTCCCAAGTTCAGAAAAGTTCCTTCCCTTGAGTTGAATTAAATCTAACAATCAACTGATTATTTCAAAGTTAAAATCTACTGATACTATGATATCCTCACACCGAATATCCTTTTTCTGTTTAAAAAAAAAAAGTTCAAGAAGAAGTGGTGTGATGTTTATGATTTGACAAAATTGAGAGAGGTTTTATAGGGAGGGGCAAGGTGTCAAAATGGGTTACACGTAGTATCAAAGATTAATGATGAAAATGAGATCCTTCTGTCTCCATATTCTTCTTCATCACTTTTTTCTGCCCTCGTCTCCTGTTATTTAATTGGAAACTCAATCAATGGCCAATTTGAGGTTAATTTTCTTTTCTTTTCTTTTCTTTAAACAAATTGTTTTCAATCATGTATGGCATCATGATTCAATAGTCAAAAAGGGTGTCTCGGCGAGACTACTTAACATACCTCTCACACCTAACACCGAAAAATGAAAGGAGGATCAAACAGTACAGCGATAGTCCAGATCCAAGAGTTCTGTTCATAACATGACAGAGCCTATGACCAGTCAGCCTTTTGGCAAACTTTTGGGCAAGCCTTCTGTAAACCGTCCAAGAATAACAGATAGCAAACACAGTGACTTAAACGCACCAATGAAAATGCAATGCAAAGAACATATAAGTGTACATAAAATTTCACATCATGAAATTCAAGTCAAGTTCTCTAAATTCCCCAGCAGAGTCGTCAGAAACTGTAACTTGCTTTTCGTGTTCCTTTCAAATATGATAGTGTAGACACCCCATTTTTGACCATCCTCAAGACTTGGATGTTCTTGCAAGGTACATCCAGCAACAAGTTTGATCGCTCGTCGAGTACTCAATTTTTGTGATGGAACGCTCCAGGTTTGATCCTTCCAGACCCTATTTCTATTCTGTCTCATATTTGGACCATGTGTTGGTCTTTGCATAGTGGTGTTCTTGATGGCCTGCCGGCCATCATTGAGGGCTGCCAGCCATGGGCTTTGCCTTGCCGGCCATCAATGAGGCACTGCCGGCCACCAATGCTTTAGTAGATATTTTTGCAGATATTTTGACAGCTGTTTGCACAGATTAGCCCATTTGCTTGCACATGGATGGCTGGATTTGTTTGAAGGCTTCTTGTATCTCCTATATATAGAGCTCATCAATATGTATACAAAGGGTTACAAAGTTTGAGCTGAGCTATATCTCTCTCATTCTCTCTCTAGAATACTCTCTCTCTATATTTTATGCTTGAAAGTGTATTTTCTCTTCACCTTTGCACTAGCACCCTTAGCCAAACACCTTCACCTTAGTGTTGAGGATCTTCGAGGCCTTGTTGGAGCTCCTTGGAGTGGTTTTGGCTTGGTTTTGGCTCAGAAATTTGCTGATTTGTTGCTATGCTTTAAGGGTAAGAACATACCTCTTTTAAGCTTTGTTCTAGTTCATAGCTTAGCCATCTTTGTATGCTACTTTGAAGCTGGTTTTAGCCTCAAAAAAGTTCTATTTTTAAGGCTTAAAAATGTTGGTTTGAGCCTTGTGTGGTTAGGGGGTGGTTCCCCTCTTTTGCTCTTTGGCTTGTAAAGCCTCTTGAGCCACCTTTTTAAGCTTTTGTAACATCCTTTGTTAGGCCTTTTTACCACTGAAACTTAGAGGTATTTCAGTGGTAGAAAGTTGGTTTTGAGGCTCAAAATAGGAGATTATTGGGACAAAAGAATGCTAAAACCTATTCACAACACTTTCACTATTCTTCCACCTCTCAATATCACAATGGTAAATTATTATGTGATTTTCAAATATCAATATATTGACATAATGTTTTTTTGGATTAATACGATAGATATTGTGAGATAGATACAATCGGATTATATTACACCATATATACTTGTTTAAGACTATTATATAGTTTTTGAGTGATTATTTAGTGATTTTAAAGCTATTGGCATTCTGTAAACTTGTTCACTTGTCTCTTAAAAATCAATATAAAATTAATGAGTCTCACTATTTAAATTAATAAAAATCAAATTCGAACACCACATATATTTATTTGGGTAATATTAAATAATTTATTTATAAATACTCACATGGTTTGACTATAAATATATATAGGGCAATGCGATGGTATACATCTCATATATTTATTTGAGTACTGTTAAATAATTTATTTATAAATACTCACATAGGTTTGATTATCAAAAGTGATGATTAAATAAATTAAAAAATTAATTACATAAATATAAGAGAAGTTATTTGGTAGCTCTTAATCAATACTTGACATCATATGTTGATTATGGGGCCAAAGATCACCTTATGGACTCATTGTCACTTATGGGCGTGGTATGGGTGTTTGACAACCCATCATGTTGGCGCTTATGGTGCAACCCTCATGCCCACCCCCCCACTACTTATGGGTTTTGGTGAGATGGTAAGTGCTTGATCCTGACAATTGGTATCAAAGCGAGGTCATCGGTTTAAGTCCCCTAGGTGTCGCTTGGGAGGAGATTGTTGGTTATGGGGCCAGCGATCATCTTATGGGCTCGAGTAAAATTTACCCATATTTTATTTAATAAAGCACCAATGATGTCATTTTAAAATAATTTATTTAATAAGAACATTTTCTTTGTAATTGTTTCAGCCATTCTTTGATAATTCCCAGAACCAAAATCATTTCTTCGTAGCTCATTAACCACTATGCACAATTCAGTTCTTCCAAATATATCATAAAGACTCGTTTAAGCCCTATTTGGTTCCTGAAAATTTTGAAGGGAAAGCAAATCTCGTCTTCCTTGCATTTTCTTCCCATGCTTAATATGAAAATAAAACTAAAAATATTCTCAAAAGGATCAAAAATCAATAAATATGGGAAAAACATCTACAATAAAAAGAAAATTTGCTCTCTTGCTTTAGCTCATTTTTCATTCCTTCTCAAGGCAACCAAACAATGTAGACTGAATTCCTATTTGTCTTCATTCAGTTACTTTCTGAAATGTTAAAGCTTTTTGATTCTTTGGGACATGAGAAGATAAAGTTTTCTCCGTCACTTGAGACTGTGTTTGGATCATAGATTTAGGTAGGAATTTGAAAAGAGAAGCGGAAAGGAAAGCCGATTTAGTACCCGAAAATCATAAAACGTGCATATGGTCTCCCACTCCTGAAAAATTTTCTCGGCCCCCTCAATATCATCAAGCTTTGCGAGAGATGAAATCATTACAGAATATGATGGATTATGCACTTCATTTAATGGCCTGTGTATATTCCAAACTCTGTAAACCTCGTCCTTAAGGCCAGTGCTGGAATAGAGAGAAACAAGATGCTGAAAAGCCAATTTTCTACCAACAGGCATTGTCCCCTCCATTTTCTTCAGAACTGTTAAAGCCTTTTCAATTAACCCAACTTTCAGATATCCATTAGCTGCAACTGAATACACCTCCCAATCAGCAATACAATAGGGATCCTCCTCGATATGATTCAGGATCTTCTCCATCCTAGAAATGTCAGATGCCATTGCATAAGCACTTA